TTTTGCAGCTATATATATAGTTAACAATTTCTAAAATTTGTACTATATTTCTTTGACTTACGGAAAAAGTTAAAGTCGGTGTGCTCTGAGTAAGACTTGTCTTGTGATCCTAACCAATAAAAGATCATAAGGAAATAAACCCGTTTAAATTGTTCATAATTGACTAACTCAAATTAAGAAGATCAATAGACAGTTTTCAATCAAAGTTGATAGGAAGTAATTCGGTGTGTTGTATTTTACTTATTTAGGGTGTTGTAATTGACTGTTAGTATGTGTTAAATCAGAAGTTCTGATTCTATTGATAAATTATCGGTTTAAAATATTATAGTTAAATCGTATGTAATATTCGGAAAAAAAAATCTATCTAACATATTTAAATATTAAATTATGTAGATCTAGGATATAGACCATCATTCCTATTTTGCTTACTTTTTTTTGAATGCTACTAGCTCTATTACATTGTAGTATCTGTTCATATACTTTCTCAACCTACTGAAACACAAAGAACCAATAACAAATGGAAGTCCAATCCGGGTACCATTAGACCACATAGTCCTGGTCCTATTTTGCTTACTTAGTTAATCTAATTTTGACTATTTTAAAAATATATATATACAAAATTATTCGGAAATTGAAATTTCGACTATGCCAACTGCGAAGTAATACTTTCAATAAGTAGACTTGGAGCACCATGTGTGCATATGGTTTTTTTTTTAATGACAAGGGAAATATATATATATATATATATATATATATATATATATATGCAAAAGGGAGATAGGTAAGTCTGCTCTTTTGTAATAATATGTAAGTAACATAAGGGAGATATATATTACATTGCAAGCATAGCTATATTGGAACACTACTCAAAAAAATAAATAAATAAATAAATAAATGACCAGTTACTCATATACGGTACAAAACTGTTTATACAAATGTATAAGAACACTGAATATATGTGTTATCCAAATAGTAAGGGTATGGCCAATATAATGACTATTTGATTAGTACTCTTGTTCTTACTTGAAGAACTGAAGCTTTCGAGAGGGGAGGAAATTCATCATTTGCAGCGACAATGTTCAGCTGGTTCGTTTTTGTATGTGCAAGAGAAGAATATTGGGGTTTATCATGCTTGACTACCTTTTCATTCTTGTCAACTCTTTGTGGAGTTGATGGTTTTTCAAATTGAGGGGGACGAAGAACAATAGGTTGAATTCTCATAAGTTCTGGGTCAAGTTTGTAGTTGTAAGGCAATTTGCTTTCATCCATCCTTCTAAAAGTAATGGAAATTCTGCAATAAGAGAAGTAAGAAGAAAGATTATTAGTACCTCATAGGCAAAAGAATATAATATAAGAAGAATGCTGAAGTGATCTTAATTTATTAATGGGATTTAATGATTTAATTACCTTTTAGATGGAACACGAGGTACACAATGCTTTGCAACATCAGCTCCATTACCTTGTAAAACAAGCACCGATCTGCATTATAATAAATCAAAGTTAAGAGACTTCTATTTTCATGATTTCCACATTTTCGATCTCATTATATATGAATTAGCTAGATAGAAAAGATATTGAATAACATACCCGACTGGTAGAGGTACTGAGACTGGACCGAAAAATTCTCCAATGCCATGATTAAGAATCTTCAAACTCGAGCCAAAAACAATATTACATTCTGATAGAAACGATACGGAGCAAAACGGTCGAATAAAGTCGTGATGGTCGATATGAGGAGGAATGCAATCACCCTCATCGTAAATGTTGACAATGCAGCTATTAGGGATACATGTTGGAGGCAAAACATGCCATTTGACCATCCGTTTAATCATTTGCTTGAATAAAGTAGGCAATGGATCCACTTCTTCATCTCTTATTATACCAGGAGGATTGCCATTTTTGTCCTATCACAATATCATAATAATATAGAGTATAAGATAAGCTACTCAAAAAAGAAAAGGTAATAAGGAATATGAATATATTAACAAGTATTTTTACCACTGCATAATTGTAACAGCTACCAAATTGAATAATTGTACGCCCTTTGCGCCCCATCCACTTCTTTGGTTCATAATATGTTCTTGCTGCAAATTAAAGAATTAAACACACTAAGTAAGATATAGTCATTGATACCCATTTTCATAATATATAATTGACTATTAACATTGCTTATATATATACCTTTAAGCTGCCTTTTCTGACCCAATTGTTGATACTTGTACACACATTCAACAATCTTCATTTGCTCTTTTGCGTCGAAAATCCCAGTATGTAATTCAACACCTTCAACCACGTTTATCTCTTTCCCATCCACTCTCTCGTAGTGAACAAAATCCTTCTTACTCTTCACTTACGCAAATCTCATATGTTCTATCTTGTCCTCATCCGAGAACGTCGGGACCTGTTTGCGATTTACCGGTGCCGGCGACGATGCACCGGAAACCAACTTTTTCAACGGATTCCGGTAGGTAGGTGCAACTATGGGTGCATGCAGCACAGTAGCTTTCTCATATGGGCAAGAAAACGATATCTCACCGAATTGAACTACAAAAGTTTTTCCAAAAAATAAAAAATAAAAAAAATTAGCACACACTCGGAAGTCATGCGATGAAAGGAAAAATAACCATGAATCTGAATAAGGATATTAAAATTTAAATAGGGTCAGAGAGTGGCTAATGCTACCCTTGAAATGCAGAAATAGAATAATAAAACTTGGAAATTTTATTAATAAAAATCTGTAGTTATATAGGCTTATTACATGATTATTATACAAAAGTCTGTATTTATGGGCTTATATATTATGAGCGAAAAACAGATTAACATAAATAGCCATAAAAGCATAACTATGAATCTGAATTAATAAGGATATTAAAATTTAAATATGGAATGGTGGCTAATGGTACCACTTGAAAGGCAGAAATAAAATAACAAAATAGGAAAAAAAATTAATATAAAACTCGAAAATTTTATTAACATAAAATTTGTATTTATAGGTTTATTATGATAACAACTAAATCATAAAAATCATACTAACAAAAAAAAACCGAAAAAAAAAAATTTACTTACTGTTTAGTTTCTCCATGGGAGCTCTGATAGGAAACCTAACGGAGTGAATGCCGAGTTGGGAAGTAGTGAGTAAAAAAGCAATAATCTCACTTGGATGGGAATTTATATATAAGAGGGAAATTGATGTTAACTTAAACTTGTTTGGAATAGAATTAATGAATTAGGAAACCCAACCTTGATATGAATAGGAAAAAGTGATAGTTGGCGCCAAATTTAGGAAATATAGCCGTCATAGAGAAAAGCTGACACGGCAGTAGGGCAATCTAGTGACGTATCACGTATGTATACAGTATACATCAGCTTAAATATTTTTATCTACAATCTCCATCTACATCTCCAATCTACATCTACATCTACATCTACAATTCTAATAAGAGCCAATAATGTTATGTCCTTAACTGGAACAAAAAAATGTCGGTAGTATTATTTCTTAAAATAAATGGTTCATACTATTTTGATTTTAGTATTTTTTTTTAATGATTTTCCTTATTTACCCTCTATTATATTATTTTCTTCCCTTAAATAACCTAAATTCCGTTAGTATAAACTTTAGTAACGGAATATTCCGTTAACTATTTATTATTTTTAACTTATTCATTAATTTCTATAAGAAAGGTCTTAGGTTCGAACTTCATCCCAATTAGAGTTGGCATAATTGTTAAACAATATACTACAGATATGTTAAAATGTATTAAAAATATATAATATAAAATTTAACAAAAACTTTGGTCAAATAATTAGTCTGACTAAATACATAACATTCAAAGTTAAAGCATCAAAGATTATAAAACAAGAACTTTAAAAATCATTTGATTTTTATGCATTTAAAAAAAAAACAAAAAACAAAAAAAACAAAAAAACAAAAACAAATTTTGGTTAAGTTTTTTTTTCGTTTAATTAATCTTCTTTTGATTATTTAGATCAGAACAAAACTTAATATTTCAATTATACTTTTGTATTATTGGTATGATTTATGTCGTTATGGTATTAATATTTTTTGTATGTATTTTTAATTTTTTATAATGGTACAATTGTACATTACTTTATAAATATTATACTATTATTTTTTTATCCGACAAAATTGTTCTTACATCATTGTCACCCTGCGCGACATAACTACAAAGTTGTTGATCATAAATAAAATTACATTTAGACTCTAAAACGGTAGGACAATTTTTCAAAGTATTGACAATGTTGACATCCCATTGGCTTCAATTGGGCAAGTTTACACATCAAAATTTTATCCATTGCATGAAAACTTCTAAAGAAATTTGTAAGTTAATTTTTACTATATCACTATAACAATATCTATTGTAACTATATATTTTAAATTATTTATTAGCATCCTCTATTGACAGAATTGTAACAATTGTCATTGACAAACTCTCAAAACAATGTCTCAACAACGAATGTAAATTAAGAAAAAAATCAATAATTTCATTATTGTTGATGAAAAGTGTGTACGTCACTTTATTACTCTTATTAAATTAAATAAATTAGTAGCTACAACAAAAAATAATACATATACATTTAATTAATTTAGAATTAGATGTCTATAATGCTCTTATTTAAAAAATTTAAAAAGAGATATAATTTTATTAGTTATATTATCTTTATTTTCTACAATTTAAAGATTCATTACCTTCAAACGTATTAATTTATTATATTCACTACATTCTCCATTGTCCTCTTTTTACATTTTCTTGTAATTAAATATCAAATTTATAATACAAAATATGTTTTATATATATCATTAGGCATTATTCCATTCGCGCAAAGCGCGTGAAAGAACTAGTATAAATATAAGTATCATTTAAAAGATCTCAATTAGAGCTTTTTAATGATATATATCTTTTTATACATTAATTTTATTTGAAAACAAAAAAACAAAAAAAAAGACAGATAAATTTAAGTTTTAAAAAAAAAAAATTAGGGGAAAAAATATGAATGCTTTCATCGCATGTTGCTACCTGCTGGTCCACAATATAACTATTGGTGCAACTATATTACAATTGTGCATTTCAAATCCAATAAACCAAAATGTCTCTCCAAAGCTGGCAATTGGAAAAGATTACAGCCACCCAAAATTGTTTAACAAAGAACCTGCTGACACATGATTTGATTGATTTCCTTCTAAGTCTTCTGTAGTATATATAAAATCCTTATCCTCCTCCTACTCAAAGCTTCACTCTCCCACAATGCCATACATGAATTGATCTGCTTATAATCTACATTTGGCAACTTTTCAAGGGGATAGAAACCCCATAATTCCCAGGTGAAACACACTCACTCTCCCAACCACCACAAAGCCGCATTGTGCAAAACAAGTTCAATAAATTGCACTGAAAAAATACAAAACGGCAACCACATTTGCTTCTCCGCAATGAAATAATATTAATAATAACAATAATAAAATCTCGCTAATTTCCCTCTTCTGCGGCCGTTGAACCTTACAAGCCACGTGGGAAGTTGTTGATTTGTCCTTCCTCCAAAACGTCTTTGCCATTCATCTTATAGCCTATCCTTAAGCGCATGACAAGGGATTTCTGAAAATGAAGTAGAGATTATGTAGTTATCAGAAGTACTGCTAACAAGTTGCAGATAAATGAAACTGTGTTCCTTGACGTGATGAGGATCTGTGGATACAGATACTTCAAATTTCCTCTTCGGATCCTAGGGCTCACTAGGCATGACAATAAACAATCACAGTACTGTATGAAATTTGAGCTGGGCCACAAAAATTTTATGAACCATTCATATGACCTATTAGCAAGCTGGGAGAAGGTTCAATTATCAAACCACATTACTTTAAGCAAAATGCCCTTAATAGTCTTTTACACTGCAGTGAAAGAAATACCAAGATGAAAATTGTAAAGGTATGCAAGTATCAACCATCATACCTTGCCATGTTGGCTGTTTATGACCCTTAATTTCTGTGTAATTGATCCATTGCCGGTTGCAGGAAGCGTGTTGCTGCTGGCTGGATCCAAATGTAGTTGAAGAAACTGTAGATTGCAAGTAAATTAGACAGACATATCCAAGTTTACATCACTGGCTCGAGTAGCAGTTGTCTTTAAGAGTTTAAGATACTGATTTTTAAAAAATAAAATGCAGTCACAACTTCAAATGGGATTGAAAATTATATCACATACAATCAAATTATATGTCATAGTCAATACTACGGAGTACTAAAATAACATCGCATTGTCTTACCTTTGGGACAGCAGCCTGGAAGATGAAGTCTGTGAATACATTTTCTGATTTGTTTGTAAAATTAGCCTCGACAACTGTTGTTTGTGGATTTCCGGGCTGCTTTGAGAAGTTGAACATTAATTTTATAGAACTACTCTCAAATGCAATAATTGATGGATATTCTGGACCATTGTTTTCTGTCATTTAAAGCCAAGGTATCAATATTTGAGGATTAAATCAGTTTCCAAATTAAGTTCAAGCACTATTGGAGACTGTACCAAGAGCAGAGGGACTAGAGATGCCATCCAACAAATCCATTACTGGAGAGCTTCCAACAGAAGAGTTTTGTGCCAAAGGTAGAGAAGGTGAGGACAACCTATCTAATAGATCTACCGAACTTTTGTTGTTTTCATTGATAAGTACCAGCTCAGTAGATGGACTACTGTTTTGAGATGGAGGTGCTCCAATTGACAGGAGATCCAGCAGGACATCGGTCCCACTTTTTTGCACATGATTTGAACCTGAAAGGCAATAGATGTAAACTTTTATTCCTACTCTCTTACTTCTGAACTTCTGAAGTGGGCAGCTGATTTATAGCTAAGTTATGTTCATTCTTTTATCCACCATACAATCATAACCAATTCCTGATATAAGAGAATGACTGACAACTGGTATGTAAGTGCATTGAAGTAGCCCTACAAAACAGACCTGGTTGTAAAGTAGCTGGTGACAAATCAACTCCAAGAAGATCCTGAAGGAAGTCCCCGCCAGAAGAGCTAGGTGCTGCTGGAACATCATCTGAGCTAAGATCAAGTAAATCAACAAGAGGAGCAGCAGCAGCAGCTGACTTGGCAACTCCATTTGGGACTTTAACAGATGGCCCTTGTGAAGTTGACACAGCTGCTGCCACAGAGCCAGCCCTCCTTCCACTATAGCTTGCTTCATCTAGGACTGGCATCCTTTCTAATAATGTAGGCCTGAAAATTAGCACCCAACAGCTTTCTTAGGTAAAGGCACTACCAGCTTTGATAATTACATCCATTCTATGAAACTCAACCATACCTGATATTCTGGTGCTTTGAAATAATAGAATTGAATTCAATAGCTCTCTGTTGAAGTTCAAGCACAAAACTTCCCTTATAGTGAACAATTGTGTCATTTATCTTCCTATAAAAGAAACAAAATTCAATGAGCAATTTCCTAAAATACTATAAGCATGCTCAGTTTTCTTAATCTTCTCATCTTTGAGAACTCTTAAATCTTTGATACTTCAGCTATGATAGTATAATGCCAAAGGGTTCCTCCTAAAAATATTAGAACAAGATATTTGGAATATAAATTTTGGGATACGAAGTGAGGCTGGATTATTAAAAATCACAATTTTCTACTCTTAGAAGCAATTAACTTGATTAATATTAGTTATTAACATTGTTAGCATATGGCTAACTCAACTTCAAGCAACAAAAGTCATAATATATATATGAAATTAGAGAATAAATTACAACATACTGAGAACAAGATGAAAAACGACTCGACAGCTTCAACAAAGCAACCAGACACATTGCCCGAGTAGTGAGGTCGGTGGAATGGCTCTTGAGTGCAGTCACTACAACATCCACAGCATCTGATTCAGTTACCTGCCAAAAACAATTTCCCTAAACATGCTGAAGAAGAAGATGATGGCTTTAATGTAAAGGAGGCTAAAAGATGATTTTTTTTGGTACATCAAAGGGAGTTGGGGAATGAATATAATTCAATGACAAACATCATCATATCCCTTAAATCAACTTTATAATGCATGCTTGAAAAACTATCGTTGATGTTAATAGGCAGGTGCACATATATTTAAACTGCAGCATATAATGAGAATGACTAGTTGGAGAAAGACATATTTTTGTTCAGTTCAAGTATTTTAGAGTAGCAGCCTATATGAAAAAGTAAGGTCTCATCCCGAACATGGTCATAATAAACTTAACTTAATTAGAACTACCCATTTCTAATTTGGTACAATACAACTTTGAATTAGTCCGAGCCCAATTTAGCTACTAGATATTGGAAGGTCATTGTACCAAAAAATTAGAACTACCAAATTAGAAGTGATGTCCCCAAAAAAAACTCTTTCATTATTTTTTTCCTTTTGGGAATAGTAGAGGGTTGGAGAAGGAAGAATTTCATCAGCATGCACAATTTTTCGGCACACAAATAAATTTATAAATCAATGTCATTGACATTCCTAACTGCCAAAAAGGGTGAAATTTTGAATTTTAATTCAAGGAAACAGATTATTAATTTGTGTGTGTTTAACACAACCAAAATGAGAATATAATACCAGACATTTTAGTATTTTACTATTGTCAATCCCATTTTTATAGAACTATGCTAAGCAGATTCAGGAAACTCATTACCGGATTTATTCACAATTTAAATTCTTGCCAAATCTAGTAACCAAATGCAATATTGTAAGCATATTTGAGGGAAAATTTGGCACAAAATTATGAACTCACAGTCACATGTTCTTCTATATCAAGCATTCCTTTATTAGCAACCAACATTTCCCCGTATTCTCCAATGCACCAAACCGCAACTCTAACAAGAATTTCCTAACAAAAACAAAATGAAACAGATTTGTAACTTGTAAGGCATTATGTCATAGAAAAAGTGCTTGCGGAATCTTACACATCAGTTGTAAACTTTCACAAAAATATAGAATGTACCTGTTCTCCTGCAGTTTTCACTACCCTATATAAAGATCGCACTGCATATCCGTGGAGGTTGGGAGCATTGGTAATCACCACAATGAGTGCATGCCAAACTTCATCCTTAACATAATTTCCCGCCTACGAAATAGAATAATCAGTACACAGTACTCTCTATGGTATGACTGTATGAGGCAAGATAACAATTAATAAAAGATGCAAAAAGGGAAAGCATTCCTATCAAAAAGCATCCAATCCTAGCATCACATGCATGATTTTTCTTTAGTGGAATTGAAATAACCCATTTTATGACATCAAGACAAGCCTATGGGTAATAAGTGAAAAATGCATTCCAAAATATTGCCTTAGAGCAACCTCAACAATGCCAATTTTTTGGGGGGTTTTGCAGGGATACGTAGGAAAGAGAAGGAAGAGAGAAGAGGAAAAAAGAGGGAAAAAAAAAAAAAATGTAATGTTACGCGCGCGTGCATGCTGCAGTTTCCACCTACGCGCAAGTTGCGCGTCTTTTTGTGGATATTTTCTCCAGCTGCGCCACACAAAAATTGTATTTGCAGGAATAAAACCCCCACCCCACATTTGTTAAAAAACCACTGTTGTGGTTGGCCTTAGAGTGCAATCTGCAATTAATCATACCTCAGATAGAACCTTGAGCATCTGATCAATGTACCAAATTTTCTCTGGGTAAAACCTAGTCCAGCATAAGGTAATTAGTGAAAAATGCATTCCAAATATGTTCGAAGAAAAAAAAAAAAAAAGACAAGGAAGATTAAGATATTTCTAAAACAGGCACTTCATAATTTTTCAACAGGAAAGAGAGATGTGTTCAGAACACATCTTCTGATCACTTACTTCTCTACAATGGAGCAAATTTTGGCAGTGAGATCTCCCCTAAACTCCAGGTCACTCGCTTCCAGATATTCAATAAGTTCCTTGGTCAAAGGCTTCACATTGCTTTCATTGACTAGAAGATAGACAAGCTCAAGGGCCCTTTTGCGGATTGAAGGATCTGAATCCTGAGAATAATCAACGCATGAGCTCCTAATGCAATACTATATTTATGGAAGGATAATGCAGGAAAACTACATGCAACTCCTTGCTTGGAACCAGTGGATTTGAAGTCTAAATATTGACAGAATCCTGAGAATAATCAACGCATGAGCTCCTAATGCAATACTATATTTATGGAAGGATAATGCAGGAAAACTACATGCAACTCCTTGCTTGGAACCAGTGGATTTGAAGTCTAAATATTGACAGAACCATCTTTACCCCCCCCCCCCCCCCCAAGCCCACCCATCGCATAGGGTGAAGGCAGTGGAGTGATTGGCAACAAGGTTTTTTTTTTCTTGGAGCCATGTATAAAGATGAAAAATAATAAATAGATTCATTATTATTGCATGTTAAGTACTCAACATGTCTCATAAAATACACAACACAACTTAGCCTTATCCCCAATCTGCTTGGGATGTCTCTCTAAATTTCCCACGAGAGCAAAATCTTAACTGATTATGAATTAATCTGTATATATATATGTATATACGTAAGGAGAATTTGTTTTTTTCTTTTTCTTTTTTCTTCAATTTTGGTGTAAAGTAGCACTTCCTAATACAAACACAAGAACTACTTACCATCTAGCTAGAATAATGTCAAGACAGGTCTAAGTTATTCGAGCCAACTAAAATAAATAAAAAGGAAAAGCAAGAAAAGAAAAGAATGGAGAACTATATAAATAGTGTGCAAAACTGCAAACTTTAACTGTATGGTACCTTTACACATTCTATAATTGTTGCTCGATGCCTCTGCACTGCTTGACTATCTACCATAACTGCTCTCATCAGCATGTTCAACGCCACATATCTAAGTTTATTTGGAGCTCTATCAGATCGTGGTACAAGTAAAAGCAAGAACTATATGCATTACCAAGCAGACAAGTCCACATCAGACTAGCCATACTTCCATGCTAGCAAAATATACAGAGTTTCAAATTAATGAAGATGACCTGATATTGTTGTCACGGTTGGATAAAAATCTCCCAAGGATATTGATAGCAAGCACACGAAGGCCACCATTATCTTCAATACTCATAATAGCTCCAACGCATTCATAAAGGATGGAATTGCCAGCATTCTTGTTGGATTCAGTTTTTGTTGCTACCTAGAAAAAGAATGTAGTGTGTCACAGAAAGCAAACATCAGACTCTGCATCATATCACAAAACAGTAGCCAAGGTTAAAAACCAAAGAAACTCGACTAAACAAAGTTCATAATCAGTGGATGATCCAGTAGAAGGTTAACAATCCAATGAGGGAATGGCCAAATGGGTGGATACTATATATATATATATATCATCCTCTTCTACAGTGGAGATTATAATCCCTGTTCCAACTCCTCAACCCATAGGAAATGCCCAGTGAGGCTGATATGATTAAGGAAATATCTTTATTATTAGAATTGATTTATTATCCTTACTATTAGAATTGATTTATTTCCTATAGAGATGGGAAATAATTATGGTAAGGAGCTTTAATGATTCTCCTGTCCTTTTTATGTTTTACTAGTCTTTGTAACCCTCTTATATAAAGGGGATTCTCATTCTAATAAAATAACAAGCAAGAAAGAAGTTAAGTTAAAATCAAGAGGTGGGAAAACTCTCAAAACGTTCCTATTATCTTTGTTCCTTAAGTTTATCTCTCAACATAGACATCCCCAATAACCCTAATCGCCCTTTGACGCGTACATTCGCCCGAGAACATAACAGAGGCAATGACCAGAATTCCAAGAAGGGTACAAGTAACAAATCTCATACTTTATCAACAGCTGTAACATTCTAGGTCAACAATCTTTGTTGCCATTTTCCAGTCATTCACTCACCCTATGTAGTATGTACACAGATTATCAATATTTCTTCTGTGCACTTCAAAGTATTCAGCTAAACTAATTATTAGCCAACAGTAATATTTTATATATGACATAGAATAAACAACTAAAATTAGGCCACATGATATTTGAATATTTGATATAAAATGATCAAAATGAGAAGTCCGCAAATATTTAATAAGCAGATCAACAAGAAATAGTAAAAATATTTGTGTCAAAAAAACTTGCAAACTACAAAATCTTGCACTCAAAAATCATAATATCAAGAAAGAACAAAGAAAAAAGACCTATAACTAACCTGAGCCAGAATGTCATTCATAGAATCACTTGCATCGGCATCACCTTGTCCCAAAATACGCAACAGCCTGAGCAAACGTATATGAAGAAAAGGATCTGTGATCCCCGATATGTCATACTCCGGTGCATATGGGCTATTCACAACATCCTTTAGAACTTTGACTAAGCCATCTGTGCATTTCTGGAACCATAGAAAAAGGTGAAAATAAATAAATAAACTCATCAGACTGACATTATAATGGACTTGCAGAAGTGCATATGCAAAACACCGGCTTAAGTAAAGCCTCTGAACTAACATCTGGAAACTGTATGCATATTCAGAATTATAAGATAAACTGAAGATTAAGCTCAAGTAAGAAATCAAGGCAATGCCATTACTCATTAGAAAATACTCCTGTTCACAACAAAAGCAAAGAAGAAAAGCTCAGTCTACTTTTACTTGGAAAACATCTTTCCTCCCAAGGCTATCATCCTCCTGAATTTCACCCTATCACCTTAACAAATATGTTTTTAATTGCAGCCTCAATGACTCAATGTACCAATTCAAAGAGAGACATTCACTGAATCAAGAGCCTCATAGTCCACAGGTGACTCAACACTAAACAATCAAAATGGTTATAGGGATGTGCAAGGCCTTATTTCAAAAAGTTGTCATAGACACATACACATACACATATATGAATGCAATGATTGTTCTTGTAGATACTGTGCAACAATACCATCTCCCTTAATTGCTCCTAAGGTTCACAATACATCACATCAGGTGCAAATAATGTGAAACAAAAATGTTTTTATGGTAGATTTTTTTTTCTTGTTGAGCACCCACTTCCACATCCTACTTCTCCATACAATTTGTTGAGCATCTTCAAGCCAGAAATGAACAGTATATGTCCAAAATAGAAAGGTAGGATGGGATTCTAGTGGTAATCATTCATGCAGAAGATAAGCTTAGAAGAGATATGAGGCCAATAACTTGAATGTGACAAACTAAATTCAGATGTATTTGATATAAAATAAAGCTAGTTATTATTAACTTACCTTTCTAAAATGTTCAAGAGCCTCTGTGCTGACTTTACATAGATCTGTGCAAAGCTGGATACCAGTTATTAGAACTCCATGGTGCTTCTCTTTCAGTAAGCAGACTGCAGCATTTATAAAATTTTCTGCGAGATCTGGAACTTTCTTTATAATCCTTATAGAGCATAATGCTGCCTACGTAACAACAACATCTGAGTAAATACATAGCTGTGTGTGACCAAATGGAATCTTAAACATAAAGGAAACACCAGGTCTCTGGTGCAAAGAAGTATCCAGTTTCCTTGTCTTCCTTTCCGTTTACTCCTTATAGAGTGGTAACAAAAGTCACATACTCAAATCAAGGTAAAACTTACTGAATAACAGTTTGCAGTGTCTAAGGTACATGGAAAATTTTATATTCAGTCAACATTATGTTTTCCTGAATAAGGCATTATCCATTCATCTGTCATCAACAAAAGAGGGAGAAGCATGGAAAACAAGCGAACACAAAAGCAGTTTGTGCGTGTGAATCTAAATTAAATACCAGTACACATCCATATCTATCATCCTGTAATATTTTGGAGGGCTCTAAATAATAAAAAGCAAATTATCAAAAGAAGAAAAATTAGAAGAATAAGAAAACATTTTTTCAGCAACTTATATTTGCCAAAATCTTTCTGATGAATTTATGAGATGAATAAGAATATAATGAAAACAAATAAGTATAAGATTGGAAATATAAAATCTAGGACCAGCGACCCAGAAAAATTCAACTTACTTTTTTACGAATATTTGGATCTCTAAACTGAAGCAATCTTTCAACTTCTGGGGCAAGATCACGTGCCATTTCTGCAGAACAGATATTTCCCAGGGCACAAAGAGCAAGTCCAACAATATATTGATTACCGTGGTTAAGATCTCTATTTTTAAGTTAAGGAATCTGTACAAAATATGAAATTTATTCTTCACTTAGCAACAATTTTGCAGAGATAACTTTATTCAATTCATGTACCCCGTGATTCAAATACTTTTCCTTCCTTCCTTTTTCTTAAATATACTGACGGTTATGCATGAAGAATAAGCCACCTAGCAGATATATATTAGAACCAAAATAATTGTAGACAGGATACTGTTTTATTGAATTGGTGACCAACATTAGAACTTCTTGTCTTTCATCAAGGAGCAACATAAGGCCAAGATATCCTATTCTTTTCTCAGGGAATCCTGGAGATGCAATTAACTTCAAGCATTCCATTTGACCAAAGTGTGTGGGATAGCCTAGCATGTGAATAAACATGAGCTTTGCGAGATTACGATGCCTATAATCATGATCATTCTCGCTGATTGCCGCTCGAATAGCAGCACACTCTTTTCTCACTACAGCACGCTCTTCTGCTGCAGTTTTGCATGCACGTATGGAACGAATCATGTCCCTGCAATAATCAGTAACTTGATAAGCATATGCCCTTTTTCTTATCCGCAAAATTTTATGTTAAACCAATTGTCTATAAAGTTCTGAGAACCCAAAAAAAAAAAAAAAAAAAAAGAGCATGTTATACAGGCAGAGTGGAAGCTAGCTTTCAACTGTAAAAATCAGTATCTGAGTTCCATTCAAATATATCACTGTACGCAAGCTTTCAACCATAGAAATCAGACAAGGAATAAACTGTCAATACTGAACATCACATCCAGCACAAATTTGATATGATGCAGTGGTCAGACAAATGGAGTTCCATTCAGAGGATCAGGCTATTTCTTTTGTAAATAACCCATAATCTATAATTCAACATTTATTAAATAAATCAAAGATACCCCCAATCCCATCATGAAAGTTCCCCAATATACACTTGTCACTAATGGAGCCTTTTTTTTCTGTGAATTATGAATGATATTACTGGTGCTTGCTTTTTCATTCATTGTTAAAAACCTAGGAAGTGGGTTTTGGATCAGAATACCTTGAAGAGTTTGAGATGAGCTTAACATATGGTGCACAAGTATTGTCTTATTCAACAATTCAGATCAGCGAATAGTGCTCATCATTTAAGTAATGTATTCTGTGATCCTAAGACAAAATTAGTTTGTAAACCTAAAAACTCTATATGATCCTAGCATGATAGCTCCGGTAACTCCTTTCTGAAACATTGAATTTATCTATCTGTAAATAAAGTTTTGGGAACTCTCTGCATTCCAGTGTCTGTCACTTTGATAGTTTGAGAAAAATTGCAATGCTATATAGCTGTTGCAGCATATTTTCTTCTTCCTCCAGTATTGCAAATTGCAATCAATCAAGTGACGGGACATCAAGGAGCTAATAAGACTTCAAAAATCGCATTTCGAGAGAAGATAACCAAACAAAATTGCGAGACAATGCAGCTATAATGGCTCCCCAATCATAGAGTCGATGCAATCATGAGAAATACGAAGGCGGGAGCTGGAAATTCCAGAAACTGATCCGAGAATCAAAGAGTGCGGTAGGTAACTGACCTGAGGCGGGTGCCGGAGGAGAAGGGATTCATGATTGGGTCCGTCTTGAAGCTCCGGGAAAGCTCGACCAGATCCAGCTGTTCAAACAGTCGTGAAAATTACTAGAAGCTTCGATTCTCCTACCTCCTAGGAGCTGGATCGTCGTTGAAAGGCGTCGCCGCGCAAATTCGGTGTTGGAGATCTGTAGACGACGAATTTGGAGGATCCGATTGCCGCCGGGAAGGGAAATAGATGAGATCTAGAGATGAATGACTGATCTGCGTTGTGTATATCTGTCTGTAATTCAATTCCAATGAATAAATCTCTGTGTCTCCTCTCATCTATGTATTTCTTTCCACTTAACGCTGTTTTCTCTGTTTTCTTATTTTTGTTATTTCTCTCATTTTCTTTAATTTCTTATTTTAGAACTTATGCAGATGTTCAATTAACATTTAACATATACTCCGTAGTATATTTACACAAGTGTGGAGTTTTTTTTTTTTTTTTTAATCATATTACTGAAAATTTTCAAATCTATTACCTTAAACCAAAAAAAATAACAATAATCAAACAATAGCAGTTGTGTATATAATATAGATATAACAGAATTAATTCCATTTTTTGTCATAGTTTTATAGAGACATTTCACTTTTAGTCTTTTTTAAAAATACTTAATGTTAGACTTAGTATTATTGTAGCATGATCATTTTTTTATCCTCCGTCAACAAACTTATTTAAATGATGTTAAATACATTGTTGAAAAAATCGCTAGTTGCTCGTGTATTTTTTTATTTTTTACTTTTTTAAAAAATGTTTAAAATTTTGTATTTCTTGAAGACTTGATAATTATAAACGATTTGATACTTTAATATAGTTAATACTAATATACTAAAAACATCTAGGTTTGAAAGATTTGGAGCTATTTTGCTCAAGACGACATAATTTTGAGTGAAATAACCCAATTGAAAAAAAAAAACAAACAAACAAACAAACAAAAAGAACAATAGTTAATCAACTGCCTAGGCAGCCTAGTTGGAGCCTAGGTGGCCTAGGAGGTCAACGCCTACGGGGTCTAGTCGACCGCCTGGACCACCGATTATGGTGATATGCTAGGTGACTGGCCGACGCTTAGTTGCGATTTTTGCAACACTGGCTAAAATAAGGACATTTCAGTATATTCAGTTCTAAGTGTTAATTTCTTTTTTTGTCATAGATTTATGTGCCATTCCACTGTTGCAGAGGCTCAAGTTGTGGAGGCTTTGCTGCGAAGGCATGTACTACATTTGAAGAAGACAGGGGACTCTAGTCGTAAATTATGAACTTTTAAAAAATAAAAAATAAATAAAATTATAGCATGTCAATCACTTTGTATAAAAATATCAAAATGTCCTCGTATTTAACGTTATTTGATATGTTCGTTGACGGATGATAAAAATGGTCATGACACAATAATACTATGACTAACTTGGATATTTTTGGGGGAAAAAAAAGATTAAAAATGGAATGACACATATATATCTATGACCAAAAATGGAATTAACTCGATATAAAATAATAATAAAAAGAAAATATACATTGTTATATGACTATGCGCACAATGCCCCTTTTTTCGTGGATTTCCATCATATTGCTAGTAGGGGTGTTAGCGAACAGAGCTTTCGACAAACTATTCGTGTTCGTGTTCGGTAAGCGTTCGTTTATGTTCGTTTGTTAAGGTAAACGAACCATTAACAAACAAAAATTAGAGCTCGGTTAATAAACAAACAGAGCTTGAACAGTTGTATGCTTGTTTGCTAAGAGATCGTGAACAAGCTCGTTTGTGTTCGTTTAATAATGTTCGTGAACAAGCTCGTTTGTGTTCATTTAATAATGTTCGTGAACAAGCTCGTTTGTGTTCATTTAATAATGTTCGTGAACAAGCTCGTTTAGTGTTCGTTAACAATGTTCGCGAACAAGAACGTAGATTATTTCTTGTTCACGAATGAATTTTGAAAATGAACATGTTCAGGTGTTTGCTTATTAAAGGTTCACGAACGTACTCATGAACATAAACCAACATGTTCGTGAACGTGTTTGTTAACGAACATGTTCGTTAACGTTAACGAACACGTTCGTGAACGTGTTCGCAAACCGGCAAACGTTGACAAACACGTTTGTGAACATGTTCGTTAATGTAAACGAACACGTTCGTGAACATGTTCGCAAACGTTAACAAACACTAATGAACGCTTAATAAACGAACACGAACAGGATTTTCAAAAACCTTAACAAACGAACACAAAAACGAACACCCCAAAATTCTTAACAAACGAACACGAACAACCTTCGTTCGTTTATGTTCGGTTTGTTAACAGCCCTAATTGCTAGAGTACTAACTTAAATCAAGTAGTTCACAACTTGAGCTAGCCCAGTGTGACCAATGGGATGGATTTTTTAATTACTTGTACTATATATTATAGAGACAATGTTCTCACAATACTCCATACAAACTTAAAATATTTCCCATCTATTATGGGATGGTACCATGTAGAATCGACACTAGTGTCGATCAATACCTTAATAATTTTCATAATAATAATTTACAAGAGCAACACTACATTTTTTATATTTATAATAATAGATACGAAATTTTACCCACCATTATAAGGGTTTCGCACTCAAACAAGGGTGGATCCATAGGTGAACAACGCAGCATCAACATTGCACTTCAAAACACCCGGGCACCTGGTGGCGGAGGTTCCTAAGCATCCTCACCTACAACCTCTTGTTTGTTGTCCAACTGCCCACGACCACTGTTACTGCACCAAGAATTCAGGTGTGTTATCATATTGTTTAACACATTTTCAGAACTCCAAGTCTCACCACACCACACCAAACCACTATATTCATTGCATACCAATTACCTTCAATGAAGAATACCACCTGTTGTGCAATCTCTTTCGGCCCCTCAAAAACTAATTGTAACCACTGTTGGAGATCACAACCATCCTTAGCAGGAAAGCCATCATGAAACATGGCGGCATGGCCCATAAAACATCCACCTGCAAACAACCAATCATTATTGTGTGGACCATATTTTGCCTACTATAAAATAATGTACATTCAGTACAAAAATAATGTACATTCAATACAAAAATAATGTATATTGTATACAGGGGATATACATTATTTTTGTTCTGAGTGTACATTATATTGTATAATGTACATTCAGTACAAAAATAATGTACATTTAATATATTAAAAATGTACTTTTTGTTATGGTCCACATAACATTGTGTGGACCATGGTCCATACAATAATTTGCCTGCAAACAACACAGCATCATATGGATCGTCGTTTCTTCCTCCAACCCACAAACTGGGCATATAATATCAACATACACCCTCTTTGCATAAAGAGCCTCCCGCGTTGCCATAATACTGTGAATGCACCGCTATAGCAAATGACAAATTCTTGATGGCACATTGAGAGCCCACAACTTTCCCCACTATGTGAAACACGTAGCAAATCTATAGACTAGTCTTTCTGCCTGTAGCATTTTGTAAACCCCTCGAACATTATATCTACCTATATCATCCAACCTCCAATACCATATATCCTTCGTTGTATCTTCCGCTATAGGCATACGTGAAATAATATCAGCATCCCGATTAGTAACGATCTCATTAACTAACTCCATATCCCAAACCTCTCGCCCCTCAATTATTAAGTCAGCCACCGTCATATCCACTAAGTGTGGGGGTGGTACTGCTTCAACATAAGGATTATCACGATCAAATAACCAAGGATGCCACCATACACTCGTTTGGTTCCCCGTTCCTACCCTTCAGCTAATACCTCTCTCCACCACTCTCTTGGTTGTCATTATACTCATTGAATCATAACTTGGATTACATCCCAAGTTCACCTCCAAAAAAATACCATGCCTCAAATACCTTGCTTTGAATAATCTAGCAACCAAAGTAGTAGGTCTCGATAGAATCCTTCACCCCTGGTTGCTTAGCATGCCAATATTGAAATCATACAGACACTGAGACACTTAAAAGCCCAAGCTTCCGGATCCCTTCCTAACACACAATTTCTCCCAACTTAACCAATGCAATCCACAACCCACTCTATTATGTTGCTACTAAAATGTAGTCATCGTACCTTCCAACTCCGTACATAAATTCTGAGACAAACTATACACTTTTACACACAAAAAATCATCCCAACATCAAACCTTCAATATTCATATTATACATTATAACACTCACCATGTGAGTGGGAGCAAGACTTCTTTGTAACAAGACCAATACATAAAACATATGCTTGACTCAATGAACTCACATCCAAACCTTAAAAAGGTAAATCTTCAAGACTCAACAACAAAGTATACATTTAGACAAAGAAACTTATCTAGAACCTAAATCTATAATCTATAATATTCATGAGAGGAATCAAACCTCCGCGTTATTAGTGGGAGTAAGGATGGCAATTTCAATCCGCCCCGCGGATATCCACCCGAATCCACCCCGCGTGGGTCGGGTTTTTTTGTGTGGTAATGAGTGATGAGTCGGGTGTGGGTCTTTTTAAAAAAAAAAAAAAAAAGTAAATTTGCGGTGGGTCGGGTTGGATTCGAATTCTATGTATAAAACCCACCTAGAACCCCACCCGACCCACCATGTAGTTATTTATAAGAGTTTCTATAACTTTATGTAAATTTTTACTATTTTTATATCTAAAATACTAAGTTTATTTTTAAAAATTAACAATTTAGTTATTATATTTAAATATTTTTATTATATTATGTTTTAGTATAACTAATAAATTTTATTATTTTATTATGTGTAAGTAATTTAAATATTATTTAAAAAAAAAAAAGATTATAAGTGATGGGCACTCGCATCCGATGGAGGTGAGGGTAAATTTTGAAAAAGTTCACCCGATACGGGTTGAGAGTGAGAGTGCGTAAAAAAAAATATAAGATAGGTTGGGTGATGGATGTAGCCCTCTCCGACCCACACCTGACCCATTGCCATCCCTAAGTGGGAGCAAGTCTGAAGTGAGTTTGCTAATTGCTAGGGGCTCGCTTACCTTTTCACTGCGTACAAGGAATTTCCAAAGCACTGATTTCACTCCGATGGCTACAGTAATTTCCGCAATCACTCTCTCAGTCGTTCTCGTTTTCCTCATCTTTAACCTAACTCCGACTCCAGGTAAACCATTTTTCTCTCCGCCGTCAAATCATCAATTACTGCAACTTTTATTATTCCTTTATTTACTCCAAAACCGCTACATAATTTTGCAGCTTTCGCTGACCTTGTCTACGAGGATGGCTACTCAGTCACCACAGTCTTCGACGGCAACAAGCTCCATATCTTCCCTCGCTCCGTCCTCCCGCAACCTGGATCGTCCGATCTCTTCCTCTTGGACTCCACCGATAGTACTGTATACGCTCTATCAATCCCCGAGTCTGGAGGTATTTCTTTGATTGAATTTTGTGATATGGAACTTGCGGTGGATTTGCAATGCAAGTGGTGTGTGATGTTTGATTGTCTGACATTTGAATGTTTTAGAGGTCTCGCTCCAGCGCTTAGCCGGAAATGGAACGGCCGGCTACTCGGACGGCGATCTGAGCTCTGCGATGTTTGATAAGCCGAAAAGCTTTGCGGTTGATGCTAGAGGCAATTTATATGTTGCTGATGTTAAGAACTATGCAGTTAGAAAGATTAGCAAATCAGGCAAGTCATATGAGATGCCCTTATAGTATTGTTGTAGTTTTTATATCACTAATGCTGCATGATATTATCAGTATTTCCATGGAAAATGCCCGCACAGGCAGCTTTCCTAGGCTTAGATTATGAGCAGGGACACAGTATTGAGCCTGGCAGCCTCAGTGTGGGTGTTACACCCAATGTGGTGGGCTCTACGCTGGTCTTATCACTTAATTGGCCGAGTGATTTACCCTTCATGATCCTGTCCAGCCAGGGTGTTGGGGCCTTAGAGTGTGGGAATTTTGCCTTGAGGGCAAGTATTTCCTTGGAAAATGATTGAATCTTTGAGATGTGACTTGGGACATGCATGAGAATGGAGGAAGATGAGGTGCATGAATTAGTTTCTTATTGTGTTTGGATAGTTTTCTTGTTTATTGTATCTGGGTAGTTATATGCATGTTTGGGTGTTCAAATGAGCTGTATACAAGTGTCAGTTGTATTACAAATTAAGGAGGCATAGAATATACGATCTTCTTGCGATTTATTGCTTTCTTTCCTTCCTCTGATTTTTCTAGAGTTTTGCTGAGCATTCTGATACAGACCTGGGGTTGTATCAATTTGGTTCCAAAGTGGCACAACATTTGCGGCTTCATTATCCTTACTCTTACTTTGTGTTCATTTGTCATGGTGTGGAGATGCATTTTGTTGAGATGTATATGGTAGTGGAAGTTGTCACTAGTGTATCTAACAATCTACTAACATGTATATAAAGTGAACGTCCTAGAAAGGTTGACATGGTGCAATGCAGAGGCATTCTTCAGCCTTATATTTAAGTGATCTGCTTAAATCTTCTGGGAAACTAGTAACCAAAAGAAGAATAAAGATGTTTCACGGTGGCTCAGGGAAGAATGTTGTTTAGGACCAAAGTTGGTGAATTATTATCTTAATGAGAAGTGGGTGGAGTAATCAATGTTTTTGTTACTCTGGAGAACTACCCAAAAAAATAGTATCTAGGGTCTCTTTCACCTTTGCTGTCAATGAACTTCAAACCCTTGATGTAGGAAGTTAAGCTTGTCAACTTCATTAGTTGCTTGTAGTCTGCACTTGTGTATGGAACTTCCTCTTTTGCTTTTCTATGTGAGAAAAATTTGGGCATTCACTATTGATGACCTTCTTTGCAATTTAGTATATGTATCTTGATCATCATGTTTAATGCAGGTGTGACTACTATAGCTGGAGGGTTTTCAAACAAAGCCGGCAAGAAAGATGGCTCTGGCAAAGATGCTACCTTCTCAAATGATTATGAGCTAGTCTTCATTCCTCAAAGATGTGCTTTAATCGTCTCTGACATTGGAAATAATTTAGTCCGCCAAATTAATCTCAAGGCAGAGGACTGCTCTAGTGATTCTCAATCTGGTATACCTTGGAAATTTGTAAAAATTAATCTCATCTGAATATTTAACTACCCATTGAATGTTATACAATTTAATTATCTTATAAAAATGGTCTGCTTTTGTGTGTTTTGGAGTTGGAAGCATTTAGTCCTTTTCTTACATGCAAAGGTCCTTTTCTTATCAATTCATATTTTGACTTTAGGTTTGGTAGTTAGGTAGTTCATGGTAGGTCTCTATCGATACGTCAATTTCATATGAAAAATTTTCTTTTTAATTTGTCTGTGTATGTGTTTGGTCTTACTCTAAAGTGTCTCGTATTGAAGTAATAACATGTTACTTTAATTTCCCTCAGCGTTAGGATCAACCACTGCTTGGTTTCTTGGAGTGGGGATTTCGTGCTTAATTGGCTTGATTATTGGATTTGTGCTTCGTCCATATGTCATTCCACATGTAAGTCTCCTTCGTAATCTGCAAATTGTATAGTTGCAGCAAAATTACTCCCCTTTAATCTAACTGGAACTTGTAGACAGGGAGGCAGCAGACATCGTTGGTACAACAGGACATGGAAGCGTTGCCAAATGAGTCTGGGGAGACCAGTTCTGATGCTCTGCTTCGAGCTCAGAAACGCAGTTGTTAACTCGTCATCTTATTCACTACTAAAGCAGATAACATATCTTAGTTTCTCTCATCTCTCTCTGATATTTACTTCGATGTTTTTTCCTAGAATAGTAGAACCCCGGAAACCTCTTGAAAAACCTGTATCTTTGCTAGATTTAGACGACCTTGATAGCAGTGAACCAACGAAAAAGTATCCTAGAATAGTAGAAGTGAAAGACGTGCCTTTGTTGGAGTTGGATGACATTAATACTAGCAAATCTGCAAAACCAGATGCAGTGGTCAACGAACTGAAGGATTTGATTCATTTTGACGAAGGCTTGCTCTTATCAAACAAGTCGGAATCAGATTTTGAGGACGGAAACGACACTGGAAGCAATGGGAAGATAGATGGTATGATACAAGCTAATCTCTGTGGCTTTGCGGAGCTGGCAACCGCAACTTCAAGCATTGAGTTTCCAAAGAGTAGCCTGGGCTTAGTAGCTAAGAGAAGAGTGAAGTAATCTATGGTTTCCATTACTACACCTTGCTATAAGTAATCTATTGCTCCATATTATAGTTGGAAAACTTGGATTATGAATTAAGAGACTTGAAGTAATATGTATGTAATGTGTCGGGCCGGGATGTGAGCCCAGAGGGAGGGGTTTTGCCTTTTGTGGCAAGTAATATGTATATAACTATGTAAGTACTACTAATTTGACTTGCTTTGAGTTTCTATCATCGGATGCTTGTGATTCCATTTTTTCCGTTTCTTTTTTTAATTACAAGGGAGGGGATACCAAATATACAAACTACCAACACCTCCCATATAAGGGAACAACGTGATACCAATGGACCACAAGAAAACCCCAGTCCAATAAATCAAAATAGAGAGTACAGTGATTGGACCAGTGAATCGACAATGGAGTCCCTGCGATTTTGTGATGGTAACTTGTACATGTCAATGGTGAAATCGTAAAAGACGATATAACAATGATAAAGGCATGGTTACACGTGATGGCATCCTCACGAGGCAACTAAAAGAAGTGGTCAAAGGTGACTAAACATTCAGCCTCTAATTTTTGACTCTCTCCTCTCTCTTACTTTGTGTGCCAATGACTGATTTTGTTAATGTGCATCCCATTTTTGAACCATTTCTTCAAAATTACATTGTTTGAGCTTTCAATTAAAAAATAAAAATAAAATTTAAGTGCACGATTAGATCTACTAACTGACTAGTCAATCATTTGGGAGAAGAAAAAAGCAATTAGTGTCGAAATCGTCTCGACCTAAGGACACTTAGCACCTATCTAGGCAAAGTTTCACAATGACAATCAGCGAATCGATGATGGAATCTCTAGGAGTTTATAATGATAACTTCTTGTCCCTGTCAATGGTGAAATTGTGAAAGGCAATAGCAGTGGCAAGGTGACATTGCGTTTGTCAATGGCATCATCACAAGGCAGCTTACAGAAGTGGCAAAAGGTAACTTGACATTCAACCTCTTAAATTTGAAGTTTCTCTTTTCTCCATGACTTCTTGTGCTAGCAACTGTGATTTTACTAATGTGCATCCCATTTTAAGGTAAAATCACAGTTGCTAGCACAAGAAGTTGAGAAAAGAGAAACTACAAAATTAAGAGGTTGAATGTTAAGTTACCTAATAAAATGACAGGCAATTATTGCTAAAATCATCTCACCTAAGAAAACTTACCACCTATCACCTACCTATGGCACGTACTCAATATTTTTTAAATTTCATAACTTAATAACTTACTGACAATCGATCATTGCACACTTATTAAATTCTAATCAGATTGAAAACCTAATTATCAGCCATTAGTTGCTCACTTATTAAATTCTAATCAGATTGAAAACCTAATTATCAGCCATTAGTTGCTCGGTTGACTTTTTATGCTCACCATTAGACGACTAGAATAGGGCACTATGCTCACCATTAGATGACTTGAATAGGGCACTAAATATAGGCCCTAAATCGTCTATTTCTGGAAATGCATTTCTTTATTTACTAAGATGACTAAGCTTATAATTACTTTTCGGGAGTACCTATAGAAAACTCTTAAAATCAAAGATTATAAACTATGACTAAGCACATGCTCAACACATCACCAAAATAACGCTACTGTGACAAGAAATCTTACACCCTCTACATTCACAAGTTTTGTGACAAGACATCTGAAGCTAATCCCAAAATGGGTGACCAAGCAAATGAGACATAATTCTTGTACTTAAATGTCACCAATCTAAATCATCCTAATGCAATTTACATATCCACCTATCATGTGTGGTTTGCAAGTCAAGTAGTGACTACAAATTTTCCATACCATCTAAAAAAAAAAAAAAAAAAAAAAAAATCTGAAGCTGCTCTGGCATTCACAACTCACAAGGTTTAATACAATGTTCACATAACATAATTATACTCCGTCAATATTCACATGGGTATACAAAAATTGCAAATATTGAAGCACTTAAAAGCTTTCAAGCCAGAGTACTCATTTAGCAGAATCTCACCCTTGAAAAGCCAACCCCCCCCCCCCCCCCGCCCCCACCCTGCCATGTCCACCACACAATTTTGGACTCAAGACCTGTACTATAAACTTTGACCAAACCCCTTCATTGCATCACTCTTTTCCTGAACATAATCTATGGCTAAATTAGCCTGCTGCTCTAAAGTTAGAATAAATAAGTCCCGCAAGGTGAAAAACCAAACTTACATTATACTTAGAAAGTTAATAGTACCTATACAAGCCAATCGCGCTTCTTGATCATTCAACGCAGCTGTTTGGAATGGCTGCGGAAAACTGTACCCCCCAAAAAAAGGAAAATCAAAAATAAAAAAATTTAAGTAAAATGGTCAAATGGCTTTTGAACAGACCTAATTGTAACCCACCAACAGCATGACTTGGAAAGCAGACTAGCAGAGTATATGCTTGAGTCAAGCAGTTTACCAAATTCATGTTAACTTGATTATGGAACTTATACCTCATTGATCAGAAGGGAGAGAACACTGAATACAGAACAATGTGCAGGTGGCACAAAACCCTATTTGCACTGTCATATTACTGTATCGAAAGCAACTTGGAATTCGGCAATCTGTCTTGGCTTTGGATTTGAAGCAGTGGCTAGGCCTTGAAGCAACCTCACAACATCAGCAGTATCATCGAGGTAATATCTTGCTCTGCTCGGTTTTCGACCAACGGTGCATGCAAACATTTCTGGGGCTGTAGAAATGGACAAACCAGAAACCATATTTATAATGCCCTCAAACATGTCTTCATCCGATCTATCATCTCCAATACACATCACAAAATCTGGTGGCCTCCCCCCATTAACCATCATTAAAAGAACCTTCTCTGCAGCCAACCCTTTGGTCACTCCCTGCATATCAATGTGAACCACTTAAAAAAGGAAAAAAGAAAAACTTTTCTGGAGCCAATACACAACAACATTCAAAAATAGATAATAAAAATGATATATTCATGCGGAAGGGAAAAAGAGATCATACTTGTGGCTTGACTTCAACAATTTGCTGGCCTCTCTTCACAACTGCAGGTTCATTTGCAAGAACATTTTCCAAGTGATCAAGCAATTCCTTTGCCTGGCAGGAGCCAAAGTCGGGGTCTGCATCCTGGTGGTGCCAAACCAAGGCACTCTCTTTAGTTTCTATTGAGGAGCCATCAGTTGCATCAGTGTATTGTTTCATTACAGGTTCAACAATTTCTTTCCACTCAGTATCAGCATTCATGCATTCCCAATCTGAGCTTTTATTCCACCTGCCCCCAAAAAAGAGCAACAGATTTCTTGGTTTACAAAGACATTGACAACAGAAAGTAAAATAGAACAGAACTGAAATTGAAAATCTCACCTTACATTAGACAAGTGTCAAACAATAACATAAACATGGAAAATGAGTTACTCCATACCTTATGAAATAACCATGTTCAGCAGCCAGCCCAAGCCTCTCGCATGGTTCAAGCCATTCACACAAGGAACTTCTACCTCGGCCGCTAACAATAAAGACTGTATTCTTGGGATCATTGGAGAGAGCATTCAAGAAATGAATGACTTCAGCACTAGGAGATTTAACTATAGATGATTGAGGTACAATGGTACCATCATAGTCCAAGAATATTGCCCTTCTGTTTGTCCTTTTGTATGATGACACAATGTGATCATTGGATAACTTTCTAAAACTTGGAGAAAGTGAAATAACTCTGAAACCAAGGCCCAACCCAATGCCCCAGCATCGCTTACTATAATGATCCTTGCATGCTCTCTCCAAATCCTGCATAAAGCTGCGAGCCCAATAAGCAACATCATGAGAGCTAACATAGCGGTAGTGTTTTTCATGCCTCAATTGCTTTTCAGAATCAGACATGGTAATGGCCACATTTAGAGCCTCGGCTACAGCTTCAATGTCCCATGGATTCACTCTAATTGCTCCACTCAGAGATGGTGAACAACCAATGAACTCGGAGACAACAAGCATGCTAGTTCGAGGAGAATCAGCCTTTATACCCATTGCCTCATCCATACCAGGAGAGCCCTGCCTACAGACGATGTACTTGTAAGGTACCAAATTCATCCCATCCCTGACTGCATTGACTATGCAACATTCTGCCACAGCATAATAAGCAGTCTTCTCATAGCGAGCAGCAGGATAATCAATCAAAATCACAGGCTCATAGCTAGGGTGACCATAAAGTTCATTGATTCTTTTAGCAGTCGAATATGTTTCCCTTTTTGCTTCCTGAACATCTTTCCCAGAACTCCGAGCAGGATTCACTATTTGGACAAGAACAACCTTCCCTCGCAAGTCCTGATGCTGTTGCAATAGGTGTTCAAAAGCTAGCAATTTCAGACTGATACCTTTAAATATGTCCATATCATCAACACCAAGAATAACCTTTTTCCCCTTAAATTGTTCTTGAATTTCTTTGACCTTATCAAATGTAGAGGGCTGATTCAACACAGACTCCAGTCTGCCCATATGAATACCTACAGGCAAAATTTTTATATAAACGGTACGGCCAAAGTAATCAAGTCCAATATGTCCACGTTTAGATTCATAGTCCAGGCCTAACATCCTACTGCAGCATGACAGAAAATGGCGTGCATAATCAAAAGTATGAAACCCAATCAGATCACAGTTCAGCAATCCTTTTAGAATTTCATCCCGGACTGGCAAAGTCCGGTATATTTCCGAAGAAGGAAATGGGCTATGGAGAAAGAACCCAAGTTTGACACGGTGGTATCGCTTCCTCAGAAAAGTAGGGAGAACCATGAGGTGATAATCATGAACCCAGATGTAGTCATCCTCAGGATTCACCACTTCCATTACCTTGTCAGCAAATAATTTGTTAGCAGATACATAAGCCTGCCACAGTTGACGATCATATCTATCCCCGTGGTCTGGGCACATTGGTAGCATGTAGTGGAAAAGAGGCCACAGATATTGCTTACAGAAACCATAATAAAATTTTTTCTGGATGTCTGGGGGTAGAAAAGTAGGCACACACTTGAAGTCGTCCAGCAGTCTCTGTGCAACTTCCTCTTGTTCACTGGGTTCTATATCAGCCTTGAGGCAACCCACGTAGATGACCTCGGTTTCAGGAGAAAACCCATCCTTCAATTGTAAAAGAAGTGAGTCCTTGTCCAAACTAAAGCACCATTTTGAAGTTCCTTTATCCCTTTGAGCATGCAAAGGAAGCATATTAGAAACAACAATTTTACGATCTCGACAAATGGATGAAGTACCATCTGAATCACCATCATTGCTTCCATCAGAGATGATTCCAGGAACAGTCATCAGCCGAGGAAGAACTCTAGGAGTTTGCAGAATATCTAAAATCTCTTCAGAAGAAAAGTCCAAAAGGTTTGCAGAAGATATTGACGCCATGTCTTGTAAATAAACTTCTTGTATTTAATCAATACAGATGCTTATAACTTATAGAAAACTGTGGTTGAATTGTAAGTCCCACTTGTTATGGTATTAACATGCCCACCAACCTACAGGGTTAAAAAAACTATTTAAAAAAAAGAAAACCTTCAATTGCATTGTTGCCAACATTACAGAAAAAATCACACACACAAGCATCACTTGGATCAAACTTAAATCTTACCAAAAATGTAAAACTTACAGAATGTAATCTTCCCAGAGTTCTATATATGTGAAGTATATAAACTATTTCACTCCCTTAAACGGGATTAGGAATGGCGATTTCTAAAGTATGTAAATAAATAAATGATTAAAATTCAACCACAAATATAGAAACAAATGATTCTTGCCGAAAAATCAGAACAATTACCTATGCAACACCATAACTAAATTTTACTGTATCTACATTTGTAATCTCAAAGCATCATCTGCTAATCACGTGAAAAGAGGGCAATGAAAAAATACCTTGAACCAAAGTATGGTTAAGGCAGAACAGAGGAAAAAACAATTAAAAAAAACAATAAAATGTAATGCCTGACCAGGGATGGGTAGTGTAGACTGGGGGCACTAGTTTCCGTTCAAAAGGGGAAAAAGGAACTGAAAAGAACAATATTATGATAATCAATGCTAAGGATGAGCACCACATTAGGCATTGTATTGCTCAACAGTGAGGATGGTGCACAATTACTTGCATTAAAGACCCTTTTCAGCCAATCAATGCATAAAATAAATGCTATAATTAGCCAGGCAAGGATTATGATAAGAAAATATCTCACTAACACGAAGAAAACATGCTAGCCTACCAAAGCCGGAAAACATGCTAGCCAGCCAAAGCCAGGATGTAATATTGGCCATTTTACTTCTTTCCAACAAAAAGAACGTGACAACATATAATAACTAGCCAGGTAAAGAGAACCCAAGACAGGGGTTTTGAAAAAGAAAAAGAAAAAGACAAGAAAAGCAAAAAAAAAAAAAAAAAAAAAACTCACACTGGGGTTCACTAAGAGCATTCAAAATAATCATATTGCACAAACAAATCTTATAATTATCAGCACCAAAAAATACTTATCAGTGAGGATGGAGCACAATTACTTGCATTTAAATCGTTTTCAGCAAGTCAATGCATAAAATAAATGCTATAACTACCCAGGCAAGGAATATGATAAGAAAAAATCTCACTAACACGAAAAAAACATGTTATCCAGCCAAAGCCAGGGCGTAATATTGGCCATTTCACTTCCAACAAAAAGAACGTGACAACGTATAATAACTAGCCAGGTAAAGAGAATCCAAGACATCTGTTTTGGAAAACAAACAAACAAGCAAACGCACTGGTTTCACTAGCATTCAAAATAATCATATTGCACAAACAAATCATATAGTTATCAGCACCAAAAAAAAAAAAAATTATCAGTGAGGATGGTGCACAATTACTTGAGTTAAAACCCCTTTCAGCCAATCAATGCATAAAATAAATACTATAATTAGCCAGGCAAGGATTATGATAAGAAATATCTCACTAACATGACATGAGGAAAACGTGTTATAGCCAGCAAATGACGGGATGTAATATTGGCCATTTCACTTCTTTCCAACGAAAAGAACGTGACAACATATAATAACTAGCCAGGTAAAGAGAATCCAAGACGTCTATATTTTTGAAAAGACTCACACTGGTTTCGCTAGCATTCAAAATAATCATATTGCACAAACAAATCTCATATAATTATAAGCACCTAAAAAAATTATGGGTGAGGATGGTGCACAATTACTTGCATTAAAATCGTTTTCAGTCAGTCAACACATAAAATAAATGCAATAACTAGGCAGGCAAAGATTATGATATTTAAATTTAAAAAAAAAAATCACTAACACATAAAAGCATGTTAGCCAGCCAATGCCGGGGTGTAATTTTAATTGGTTCACTTCCAACAAAAAGAACGTGACAACGTATAATAACTAGCCAGGTAAAGAGAATCCAAGACATCTGTTTAGGAAAAAGAACTCACACTTGTTTCACTAGCATTCAAAATAATCATATTGCACAAACATATCATATAGTTATCAGCACCTAAAGCAAATTTATTGGTGAGGGATGTGCACAATTGCTTGCATTAAAATCCTTTTCAGCTGATCAATGCATAAAATAAATGCTATAACTAGTCCGACTAGGATTATGATAAAGAAAAAATCTGACTAATATGAAAGAAAAAAAATATATTGTTAGCCAGCCAAAACAGGAGTGTAATATTGGCCATTTCACTTCCAACAAAAGATTGTGATACCCTATAAGAAGGCAGGTAAAGAGAATCCAAGACATCTGTTACGGGAAAAACTCATACTGGTTTCACTAGCATTCAAAATAATCATTTGCACAAACAAATCATATAATTATCACCACCAAAAAAAAATAAAAAATTATCCAGCCTCAATGAAAAGCTAAATAGTCATAGTTCACCCTAAAAACAAAATAACATTTCATCAAACAGATTCATATTTGGACCTGCAGTCAACCAAATTCATTTCAAGTATTATGAAGTATTATTTTGACATCAAGTTCATCAGTTGAAATTTAAATTATTCCAAAATGATATATTGCAAATTTCCAGACCAGAAAAATTAAGACGTCCAAGAAAAATGTACAAAACAGGTGAAAAAGAGTAATTTAAATTTAAATTTAAAATAATAATAATAACCTCAGACAAGTTACCCGTGATTACACTCAGGTCGACTCAGGTCCCAGTCGATTGAATTAAACTGTAAACTACAAGTTATTGCCACTAAAATACCACTTCAAAAAATGCTTAAAAGCTAACAAGCTTGAAAGTTACACAAATAAATAAACAAGTGCGTATATATTTATATTTATATTTATATAGACACGCATTACAAAGAAATCATGGGACTAATTATCTGTTAACCTTCAATAATTTTAACAAAATAAAACCTTAATCTGAAAAAAAAAAAAAAAAAGATCAAATTCAAGCCGCGGCACAAGCAATACATAAATAACACTAATCCAATCACATCATTTCGAAGCAGCAGAACTACAAACAAGCAAAATAAACAGGAAACTACAATCTCATGAACATCGTTGTTAACCGTAATCAGATTGTCTATCGTTCTTAGTTATGTAAAAGCGCTACACAACTAAAAACTCAGCAGAAAACAGAAAGCAAAAACACGCAGAGCAGATTGGAGAAATAAGGAATATGATTATACACGTAAGAACTCCGACGAGACTGCTGCCGGAAAACGCTGAAAACGTCAAGTACCGATATAAGCGGAGGAGGTTACAGAGAGAGAGAGAGAGAGAGAGGGGTTTCAACGGAAGGAAAATAAAGAGAAAGTGAGCGGAAGAGATCAGAACGAGGGAAGGGATGAGAAGGAAATAGTTTTTCTAGAGAGAGAGAGTGTGGGGGGTGGGGGGAGAGAGAGAAGCAGCGAAAGTACGGGGGCGAAATGACGATTCTGTCCAGCGGAGGGTACAATTACGGAAGTGGAAAGTACGACGCGCTGTGCACGCTGGAGGGCTGACGACGTCGTTTCGATCGGATAAAGGAGAAATATGATATGGATAGAGTCGCGCAGTCGGCCAAAGCTTTACCGTGGTTAGTTCAGATTTAACCCGGGTTTCGGATCGCGCCTCGAGTTTTTCTGTCCCCACCCACTCGCGCGTAACGATTGCCCCCGTTTTTGCGATTTATTTACGGCCTTGCCATTACCTACTTTGGTTTGACCATCATCGAATTTCCTAAACTTTTCTTATTGGTTTCCATTTATTTCCAAATACTATCAATTTATTTTTGGAAAGAAATGTACCGTCTCGTGTGGAACATGTGTAGTATCAAACTTCGCCCCACCCCCAATAAATTATAAATTATTAATAATAAATAGCATGTGATGAATATTGGAAAAATACCTCTGAATTTAACATAACTAAACTACCCAGTATTAAAAAATATTTAAAATAAAAATAATGATCAAATATGACACCAAATTATGCACAAAAATGTGATGGGTTATCTACCTGAAAAAAAAATGTAATTGAGTTTTTAAATAATTCAAAATTAAGTAATTAATATATTCTACCGATCTCAGTTGACATGATGATTTTTTTAAAAGCAGTTGACATGGCGATTATTTTCATTAAAAACTTATTATTTTCAATTTTTTTAATAATTTCAAAAAAAATATATATATATTTTCCTTCATCTCAAACCTGGAGACAAATAGTTCTTCATCTATTGCCATGGACTCTGTTTGGCATACCTAGCTTATAAGCTAGCTAAATGTAATTTGTAAGTTGAAAAGCTAATAGCTACCTGATTGAAATTAATATGTTTGGTAAAATTAATGTGTATGCGAACTCTTACAAAAAAAAAAAAAAAAAAAAAAAAAAAAAAAAATCTAATGTACACCCCGAACTCTGGTAATTGTTGCGAGTTTTCATCATTATCAAACATAAAATAAAAATATAAAAAATTATATTATATGGTACACGTTTTTGTGTAAATACTATTCATCCTAACCTACCCTTCCTAATAAAACATAAATTAATTAAAGAAAATTAGTCGGTTTGGTCGGATATTACTCCATGCAGTCTACCTTAATCTTCAATTCCTAAAAATAATGGCAATACATTCCTAACATTGACAATGATATCTTATCCTAAACGTGGAAATATTTTTCAGTTTTTTTTTTTTTTTTGGTGAAGATCTTTTTCAATTTTATTTAGATTGCTTAACCAAGATTATCAACCTAGTATTATAAGGAAGTGTTGTGTAGTGTTTGTACATTTATTTTTGAGAAACCTATGCTCCCTTCGTAAATTTATCTCTTTAGATTCAGCTCTTAGTATGAGACTACTTGATCGAGTTATTTTACATTTAATTATTAAATTTATTCGTTCGTTTTTTAAAGTTATAATTGATCAATTCAAAAGTAATCTATGAATATACAGAATTTTATTAACATATTCGAAGAATATGAGGTAAATACTATAAATTTAGGAAGAAAAATAACACTACTCTTTATTTATATGCACTAATGTGACTTCACAATTTACTCTTAAATTAATTGATTGCGTTTTTTAATTATTCAAATAAAATTACACAAATAATATATGCAAATGTATGCACAATTATTATCTACAATCTTATACACACACATATATTGTAACTTTGTACTAACATTTTCCTTAAAATTTATTTGTTTTTTTTAAATGCTATTGACTTTATTATAATGTAGTATCTGTTCATATATTATACTTTCTCAATTTACTGAAGCACAAAGAGTCAAAGCTTCCTGGGGTGGAAACTTGAGACCTCTCATTTGAGGGGCCACATCTATGCCGCTCGACTACAAAGTCTTTGATTTGTTTTCATTCCTATAGTTTTAGGATCATTGAAGTGTCAATTTCCAGCCAATGACATTGTGGTCTAGTGACACGATGTTACTCTTCGGAATAGGAAGTTATGGGTTCGATCCCCAGTAAACAAATATTACATTGTAACAGAGCCAGTGGTACCAATGATACAATAAAGCACTACGATTCATTTCAGCACTTAAATAAATTGTTAGAGGAAATATAGAGAGTTTATATGAATTAAAATCAGAATTTTTGGATAGTTAACAAGTTTTAAACATTCTGTCCAACACAAAGCATTTAATGATAATTAATAACACATGCATTAATGTCATTCAAAAAAAAAAATGAATTTAAAATCCAACCACATAAATAGCAAATTAAGTAAATAAAATAAATATAATACTACAAGTTAATTTTTAAATAAATTAAAATTAATCATAATTAATTCATAAACTTAATAAGGCAATCCTTCACTGTCTCACGAGCAGTAGAAGATTGCGCAACCTTTACTACCCTGCGAAGTGCAACCGTTACTACATCATACACAGTCCTCATTCACACTAATAAGTTCGAAAAAAATAATTAAAATTTTTTGGAAAAACTTAAGTTGGGGAAAAAATTAATTTTAAAATTTAGGCTTAAATTTTTTTAACTGTCACACATGAGAAGACTTTTATGCTAAACAATTCAAATTATTTAAAAGTTAAGTTGTATTTATACTAGTACAAACTCACGCATTTTTTCGATGTGGGCAAAGACTATTTAAAACTTTTCCAAACTCCATTTTATTTGAGCTCAATAAGTATACTTTGAAAACCAATTTCTCATTATCCATTATCCATTTTGATTGTATAATGTATCAAATTCACCCTTCTAACAATAAGAATTTGTATCTAATTTTGACACTATCCAAATAATAAATGGATTTTGTTTAAGATTAAACCTCAACTGACCATTTAAAATGTCAATTTATGCTATATTTGTCTATATTACTCATTTCCCTATGTGGGCATTCAATTACCTGGATAGTAAGAATTTTAATGTTTGACAGCTAATGTTTATGTAAAGGTACTTATCTTAAAAAGTATGGATAATGTTATTTAGTTTGTGCTCAAATCTCATATTATTTTAATGGACTTCATTTTATTTATTTGTACTATAATTGGTCAATTTAGATGGTAATAAATGGTTATATCACCCGTTACAATTTACGTCAAATGCAAATTACACCTCTAGAAAAGTAAAATATTTCACATTAATTCAATCTCATTCTATTTAATATTCAAAAGAAAGTGCTATATCATATTAAATTATTCTTTTCATTCAATCTCGCGTTCTATTCAGTGTGTCTTGTGACATATATGGATATACCTTTTTTTTTTTTAATGTCTATTCGTTATATTGAATTCAATATAAGTTAATAAGATAAAATGATAAAAAAAAAAAAAAAGGAATTTATTACAGAAAGATATAATACAAATAGTACATTGTCATAGGGAATAAGAGAAATTTTACAATGGTGGGTATTTTACAAAATTGTATTTTGCTTTTTACTAGAGGCACATCAAGGGGTAGTACAACGATGTAAAGTATAGAATACACCTACAACTCATAGTTAAGTTAGTCGGATAGTTGATTTGATAACTACAAGGTTTCGAATTTGGACTCTTATGATATAAAGAATAACTTTGTGTCATATATGTTAAAGATCTTTAAGTCAATTTTTTCGAGTAAAGTCAAACTTTGTGTGTGAGTTGAGTCAACTTTGGACTACTCTCACAGTGGTTAGAATACTGGATCATATTATTGCACATTTGGTTCATGGAATGAGGTTTGAAGGGATACGAATCTTGTTACGGGGAATAAAATACAATGAATAAAATAAGAATTCCATTATATTCTATTGCTTGATTGATGGGAAAGAATAAATTTTTTGAATCGTATTATAGTGTTGGGTTAAATTAAGGAATATAAAAACAACAATCATTTAAAAGACAAAATTATCATTCACACGGATGATGATGATGATGATGATGATGATGATGATGATGATGATGATGATGATGATGATGATGATGATGATGATGATGATGATGATGATGATGATGATGATGATGATGATGATGATGATAATAATAATAATATCATTATTATTATAATAATAATATCATTATTATTATTATAGAATGCATTTACAAAATATAACACAAATAGATAATGATATATTAGATATTACCAAAAAATATATATTCTTAAGAATTCAGAAATAGCTTAATATATACCAAGATCACCCCTTGAAATAGTTATTTCCGACCCCTTGCGAGTGGAATATTGTATTCTCAAGAATACTATTCTCGAGAAAAATACTACATAAATTTTCAAATAACGAATAAACTTATTTAGAAAAATGTTATACTATTCCTAACCTATTTCGTGAAGTATACATGTTGTTATTAACTTGAGAAGGTTTATATATTTAAAAGTACAGTTGGTGTTTAAATTGTGCCCCAAAAAATTTGTTGTTTATAGGCACTTATATAAAGATATTGTTCTAGGCAAATACAGATTATAGTAATAGTACTACTATACATGTGGTGGAAATTTTAATGAAACCATTTATTTTATAAAAATTTATATAAACAATGGTCATGCATAAATGTATCCCTAAGCTAACCTTTAATTTATTATTCCACGTGATTTGTGTTTAATTTAAATGTTTACTTCTTGTTGTTGATTTTTGTGTATAGTAACTAATAAATTATTCTGTATGATTTAATTTGTTACATGCATATAAGTTTTAATCCAAAGTTAAAAGCTTCTCACCCGTATGCACATACAAGAGATTGGTGTATAAAGTAAATTGTTAAATGTGTTTTAACTATCTTACAACTCCAAAATGATTGTACATTAATATTCAAAACAATGTTAAATCTTTTTTTTTTTTTTTTTTTTTTGTATTTGGTAAAATTAGAACTATGCACCATAGGACGGCTAGTAAAACAAAACTTATAAACATGATTTGTAACATATTATTACGTATTGGTGTTAAATTGAAGGTAGTC